AATATTTAGATCAAATTCAAATAAAACGATTGAACGGAATTATTTAAATCTTCCCGCTATTTGTAAATTTTGCGTATTTTGGAGAATTGGACCAAAAATTTCGGTCGACCTAATCTTGAATCATCGAAAGATTTGATAAAACATGCGGCAAAATCAGCATAGAGTATTTGTATAATTTACTTCCATGGTACAAGATTTTGCACTCCACACTGGCACGTGAAGGAAACACACCCTAAGGACACTGAAAAATGTTCGAATGACGTCGTTGGCACCAAGCTCATCTGCGAAGTTGGACGTCATGGGCTCGACGCCCACCGGTGCACATCTCGAATGCAAAACAATCACCAACTCTGCTTCGGTGTGGCCAATATATGAGAGAACAGGACTTCAGGTTCTTATCACAGACATTACAGGATGACAGTCCTTTCTCCTTGCTTGAACGTAACAGAACGCTTTCCAAAGTAGACTTCGAGGTCCGTCCAAAGGAACCTGTAAATTCCACATCTCGCTACCACTGAAACAGAGCAAAGTAGCATATGAAAGTGCTTCACCATTACAAATTGAACTTTGCCTATTCAACTTAATATTATTTGACCAAGTGTCAGGCTTGACAGTGAGTAACACTCGATTGACTGCATCATTTTAAAATATAATTCACTGAAGCATGTTAGCACTCAATGAAGATTTCGACAAATATTTTAAAATTAGAAAACTGCTGGAAATAACAAAACGGAAACAACTCAAATGGAAGATTGAAAAGGTACCTCTGTTACAGGTGGCTCAGTTGAACGCTTCCAATAAGATGTGGCAAGACCAACTGAATAAAACCCTACAGCGAATAAGGAGTCACAATGACCTGGAATTCGTAGGTCACGGAGAAAAAGCAATTGGAAAGTGGCACGTGTTTTGTGCTTTGATCAATCCTGTGGGAGGCTTCACTGAAATAAAATACTTGAAAAGAATATTGGAATGCGAAGAGCAATCAGAAACGAAGAGGAGAAGACGAATAAGCAATCAGACAATACGATGAAAACTCACCTCACATGTACATGTTTTCTCATTATATTACCAAGAGCACAGACTAATTTTGGTTATAAATAAAGGTTTACTACAGTTATGAATTCCCATGCGTCTTCAGAACTAATGGGCAAAACCGAACTCCAAAAGCAGCCACGTGAGAGCCGAGAGTTTACAGTGGCGTGGAAATCCGAGACCATACACATTCAACCCTCAATCAAGTGCAACTGTTCTGATTTGTTGCATATTTCTTACACCTTCTCGTTTTGCTGATTACACTCGATGCAACGATCATCTTGTTTTCGCGTAGAATGAATTCTCTCTATATCCACAAATATCTACACATCGTAGGGCACAGAAATCGGTAAACCCAACGCATTTTAAATTCTACGTAGCTCTTAACCTATACCTTACAAATTCTAATCAATAGAGCACAATAGCCCCAATCAATCATAAGAATGAGAATTAGGTCTGGACAGTTGAGTAATGGACAGTCACTAAAAAGTGGTGAGATAAGTGGGCGGAAGAGCTGTGATATGTCACACGCCTAAATCGCCGACTTGAAAGAGTGAATATGTGCTTCAATTAAATAAACTACATTGAGCATGAGTGCCAGTAGGTATGGAATACCTACGGGACTACAGTTTCCTTAGATTTTCACATTTCTTACCGTTGCTTTATTCACGAATTGGGCATATTTGATCAAATGTACACCACTTTAGAGTATCACCTACCATTCATCACTTAAATGAACTGTTTTGAAATGGTCCCAGAACAGTTATCCGAGTGTCGACTGCGGGAGATTTTCCATGCTTTTTGAACTACTGCGTTAACAGTTCAGAAAAAGTCGTTGCTCATGCCTCTCGAAAGAATTCTTCAGCTGAGAGGAATAGCAGTTTGATTAAAAGGAAGTCTTTGATTATTGAAATGGTCCATAAATTCACTTCTTGTTCCTTCTTCTATCATAGTTATTCCGAAAAAAACTATCATTACATTCATGACTATGGATGATGATGTCCAACTCTAACTTCTTATAATTCCAAGTGATACGTGGGGTGAAATGCCTAATGATCTATTGAAAAGGTAGCACATAGAATGGATATACAAAAGGTGGCCCAGAACAAACGAAATTACACATCTCTAACAATTTCATTGTGTGCTTGACAATCTGATCATGGTTACTTTTTACTTGGACTCGTTATTATTTCAGCACTCAAATGAGATCTAATGCATTGGTTTCATGGCATTCATTTAAATTTAAGCTGCAAGAAATCTATTGCAAACGCATTTACATACTGGTCTGGAAAGGACAAGAACTTCGATACAGCTGTCTCATTATGTTCAAAATATCGATGACTGTCTAAACACCCCAATCACACCATTGCTTCTTTGTTTCTGGGGCACCTCTCTGTGGTCTCTCATATCCTCAAGTGGTAGATTTGCTTTCAAAATAATCCGAAGTCAGTCTATTCATAGCTACCACAACCAACATGCTGATCAGCAGTCTTCACTACACGTTTTCAACTCCTATCTCACCAGAGACCATTAAAACCAACAATCCCACTCACTTACCGTCGGCAACCTTCTTTCAACACTTTCAATGCTCTCACCCCTGTCCACCACGGTTTCATCCACACTTTAATTGTCATGCTGTACTTTACGGTGACACTTTCAAATGGGAGCCTAAGAAGTTACAAGGGGAGAGAATGAAACAATAGATTCTCAACGCGTTCACTTTATTCTATTGAACGACGTCCCACTCGATGTTAAAATGCCACCGGTACTCCGAAATTCCTCTGTGCTTTAGCCTACCATAATCAACACTCCTCCACTTTCTAAGAATTCGGACTTCCTTGGATCATCTCCATGCGCCAGGTGGCTCTTACGTGTGCTATCATCTGCCGAATGACATATATACAGAAGGTGGCATCAGGGCTTTATGAAATACTGTGTTATAAGAAATTGAAGTTGGTGACAAAACCAAGATAAGTCATTTGAAATCTTCTCCACCTCTGGTATGAGCCATGTTATCGAAACTGTTGTTGTGTTCTCTGCATGCGATCTGATATTATCTTGATTCCAATCTCTCAAAATAATGGTACTTTTGAATTTCACAACACTAAATAAAAATGCCCGTGCTTTGCATATTCCAGCAAACCCACTCAATGATTGCAAATGCATTCATCATTAAAAATTCGACGAGAGATAACTCACTGAATGGATGTTTTCATAAATATGCTAAATTGTGTAAAAACGCTTCATCTTTGTTAAAATGCCCTAAATTGTATTGCCATAGGCTTGGAGCAGGCCTACTCTTAAAATTATTTCGTATTATTATTGTTCCAAAACCTATTTTACAGTTTAAAGTCGCTTAAATGAACTTTCGTCAAGTAGACGATTTCGTTATTGCAGCATCTGAAGCAAAATTTTACGCAAAGGCACTAAGCATTCTAGCATACCTTAGTATATAAGCTAATCTTATCAATTAAAAGTACAATAAATCTACTGCAAATTATTATACGTTAATATTTGATAAACATTCGAATTGGTAACTGAGTATCAAAATAAAGTCGCTACATTTTAACTTCAGAAAAGTAAACGAGGGTTGTCTATGCAAATTTTGATAACAAAAAGTGCACCACCATTAAAAGAATGTAATTAACTTGCAATCGGCCACTATCCTACATTTTAGCTAAACAAAAATTTGATTTTTCAACGATATTTCGTATTCAGACAAATGCAAACTCATGGGGTAAACTTTTCATGATAATAAAGCACAATTTGTCTTTCTGAACTAATCGTGAAAAAATCTAACCTATTTGATAATTATTCCTGTTTATGTTAAATATCATCAATTAACTTAAATATTTATTGCAAAATTGGACTCGATGTGTTTTCTAACGTGAATACCTTTAGCCGTGTTAGTACACGTACATACATCCTTCAATATCTACGCATCCTACGCGCCGCGCATATTGATTATGAAAATGGTACTTAGTTTTAATTTCGGTCACACACAACATTTAGAGCAAAACAACCGTTTACTCATTTATTGTAGAATGGATAAAAAATGAATTTGGAGCAGTCGGTCGATATCGACTCAATTTCTTTCCATATGACAATTCTGTCGAAATGGTATTTAAAATTTGTTAATAACCACCATTTAGCGTGAAAATAAAGATAATAAACTGTTTCTAAGGCGAATTATACAACCAGATATAAAATTATCTGATTTATATATTGGTAATACTGTAAACGTTTTGTCGCGTAAATTATGTATTGTCGAATTTGCTAACGACTGTACGGCGATAGATTTAGCTGGAAATTCAGAAAGGTATTAAGCGATGATATCTGTTCTTAGTCATAGATGCATGTGCATAATAACACCCTCCGGTACCTGCAATGCCGGAAAATATATAGCTAATTTTGAGAGAGGAGGTTATAAAGTTCTCAAACTTAAGATGATACATATGAATTCAATGGAAGTACGTGAATATTTCAGTGAATATATTGACTGCGTAGATGTGGTGTAAGATTTTTAATTATTATTTATCTTGATAATTTTAGCAAATTGGCAAGCATTCTCCCTGATGGGGGATTTTTGGCCCTTGAATTAATGAGACGAGACGCCCATTCTGTAATGAAGGATATGCTCTATGGTCCCAATAGTGATAAAATCAACATATTCGCAAACTCTGATATATTTATGCCTACTCAGGACCCAAAATCTTCTGACAAGTTTTCTCGAACCATATTCTCCCTCCCATCGAATCAAAAACACTTCGAAATTAAAGACAGTACATGTGCAGTAATTAAACCCCATGCTGTTAATAATGGTAATAATATTGAGAATGAAATATAAGTCTCTTAAGGATTAATTGGAGAAATATTGGAAAACATTCTCTCTGGTGGATTTCAGATAATAGCTGCTCGGGATTTTATTCTATCTAAAGCAGACGCCATTGAATTTTTGGAAGTTTACAAGGGCGTGCTCAATGAATATCCAAAGTTAATCAATGAGTTTACAAATGGAATATGCGTGGCTCTACATATTACTCATTGTGATCCTCGCTACATACCTGGAGATCCAGATTCCGTACAGCAAAAGTTTCGAGAATTTATCGGTCCTATGGACCCGGTATGTTAAAACTAAATTATATTCTTCAAAACAACGAGGTACAATTACCAAATCATTTCCTTGTTTTAGGAAATAGCACGATGTATTAAGCCAAATAGTATTCGCGCCAAATATGGAGTTAACCTCGTCGAAAATGCTGTTCACTGTACAGATCTACCGGATGATGTTCAATTAGAGGTAAAAGCCGTTTAATATCTTTCCATTAATTACTATAACTGTTAATTATTTAAACACTTTTTACTTTATTTTAGATTGACTTCCTGTTCCGCATGTTGAGTGATTAATCTGATATTTTAACTAGGGTTAATAAATTCGAGTTTCTTTCGCACATATCGCTTAAATTGTTTAAAGTTATACATTTGTATTGCTGTATTCTGTTCGATAGGCGGTTCACAGTTCAACGCTTTCATAAATCCGCAATGCTGGAATAGCAAGTTTCTGCCACAGCGATCTTTCCGTATACTTGGCTTCACGCAGCCACAATTGATTCGAAATCCTGAGATGAGAAACACAGGCATAAATTTTCCTTTAATTCAAGGTGTCAT